CAGCACCCTGAGTTTCATTTTCACTTTTTGTATCAGAATCAATCACTAAGGTTTTTTGACTTTTTGTTGGTCTAATATTCACATCATCTGAATCAGAAATATATTCTGAAGAATTATCTCCTGAGGCATTAATATATGTTGCTCAGACAATCAAAGAAAGTATCTGTATAAAATTCACCAAAAAATTCTTGACTCAAGATTTCTCAATGTCTCATTTTTGAAAATTCAATGGTAATAAACTTGCATTTATAATATGTAATAAACTTGCATTTATAATGTGCAACACAAGGTTGGAACAAAAACCTAGTGGAATAAAACTTGAATGATAACAAGCATAAATTTCGTAATGAACACTTGATCAATTTTAAGCTTTACCGACTTCACATAGTGACATTAATTGTATCAGTCTCTAAAAATGTATTGATGTGTCTTTAGTCAATAATGTGTTTTAAAAGCCTGAACTTCCCTCCCCACTGCCCACACACACACAGGACTTTCAGGGAAAAGTTTTTAAAGCCAGTTCGAGGGAGGAAGGGAGGATTGTGGGATGTCTGGTCAGCTCATGCACATTCTTCCAGTTGGTTGGTGGTGACGTAATTGGGAGTCAACATCATCAACCTTCTAGTTCTGACTCGTCTTGGGTCTACAGAGTTGTGGGCAGCATACAGTTAACTTCTTCTACCTGGTGGAGGTTTCAGTATCTGCAAAACAGCTCAAAAGACATGGCTCAGAATACTCTCTACAACACTTGAAAAGAAACTGAAGGTCCTTGACTTTGTTTAATGGCTGAAGTATTACTATTTTATCTTGGTTGACTGTTTTCCTTTCTGCATTTTCTCACTTTGTTAATCTTTGACCAAAGTTCTACAGACAAAAGGCAGGTAGAGGACATATGGGGGGGAGTGGTCTGTTCTGGGAAGGCCCCCCAAAGGGTCCTACTCTGTTACACTATGACTTATTTTGCCTTGAAGGGAAGATATGTACCTTTTAGCTACCATGTATGCTTTTCTTTGGCGGCATTTAATTAAAACATTCAGTTATTCAGTATTTATTGAGCACTAACTATGCACTCAGATACAAGCCAGTCAGCTGCAAACTAAAGAGACAAAAACATGTGTCTTCATAGAACTTAAATTCTAGTTGGTAAAGACAAGCAATCAACGAGTAAAATAAATAGAATGCCAGAAAACGTAAAGTGCCGTGAGGAAAAATAAAGCATGGGAATAAGCTTGGGGCCAGAACAGGAAACAGCAGATTGCAGTTACACATGGGATGGCAAAGAAAGGGCTTGATGAAGAGAATAAAAATACAGCAATTGGAGCATCATTTGTGATAAAGAAAAATATTGGCAGCGACCTAAATATCTATCTATAGGAGACTGGTTAAATCTATTCTAATAGTAAAAAATATTTTTAATATTATTTTTGAACTATTTGGCTTATTTTTGGCTATGCTGGATCTTTACTGGTGCACGCAGGCTTTGGGGGCTTCTCTCTAGTTGTGGTGCATGAGCCTCTCTTTGTGGTGGCTTCTTTTATTTTGGAGCTTGGGCTCTAGGGTGTTCAGGCTTCAGTAGTTGTGGTATCTGGGCTCAGTAGTTGCATTTCCCAGGCTCTAGAGCACAGGCTCAATAGTTGTGGTGCCTGGGCTTAGTCGCTCCTTGGCATGTAAAATCTTCCTGGATCAGGGATCGAACCCATTCTCCTACATTGGCAAGCAGATTCTTTCCCACTGAGCCACCATGGAAGCCCAGTTAAATATTTTTTAAAGTATCTATATAGTAGAGTATTATATAGAAAAAAAATCCTACAAATACGGAATGAATTCCCAAGATATATGAAGTGATAAAAACAAGGTTCAGAATGATGTATAGAGTATGCTGCCATTTAAGTCTATCATATACATTATATATATGCATATATATTTATAAATGCATGGAATCTTAGTGGAAAGATATATAAAAACTGTTAATCATGGTTGTCTTCAAGGTGGAGAACAGGACAATTCATGGCCAGGTGAGGGTGAAGTACTTTGTATCCCATTACTGTGTATAAGGACTCCTGTATGGTCATCCTCCAAGATGGTTCTCTTGTTCTCTGTTCATCCCCTGCTCTACCAGACCCTGCTTCACTCATACGACTATTCATTCCTCTTAATATAGGGCTTAATCCCTGGTAGCTGATGAGCCCACCTGACATCAAACTCCTATAAATCAAAGCCTCATTCTCGCCCTAAATAGAAGAAACTGTTGTCATCACCTGCCTGTTGCCAGCCGCCCAAAGTGGGGATGTCACTATAGAGTTTTTGCCTCAGACATGTAAGATCCTCCTTTCAATAAACTGTTGCTGTCTCTGTCACTGTCACTGGGCTCTTTCTTCGATCGCAGGCTTTCAGGCCTGCAGCTCAACATCTGATGAGTCAGCCAGAAGGCCAAAGAAACTCTCGTGAGTGTAGAGATGTAGGGAAACAAGGCCAGGAACAGAAGGTTGGAGGAATGATTGCGGAGAGGCTGTAAACTAGCATGTGGGGCCCTGTGGCAGTTGTCTTCCATCATAATGACAATATCCTATAAACCCCAGAGTCTCTTTCCACTTTAAAAGTAGCAACCCCACACTCATGGCTCATCCAGCTAGCACAGGGATGGGTGGGGACTGCAAACAGGAGACAAGGACCTGGATCATCTTCAAAATACCAATAAACCCCTCCAACGCACCAACCCTAAACAACTAGGGATGTTGTTTAGGCTTTAGGCTTTAGGGGTGGTAACTTAGGGACAGACTTGGGAATTGGACATGGCCTGTTACCCAGAAAGGTTTGGTTGAGGCCTATGGCAACAGCTAAATAATGAGTGCTCTTGGGCCTCTGGTCCCAGCTGTGGAAGGGGGCAGACCAATGAGTCAGTGTGATGGAGCAGCAATGTGTATCTACAGCCTGTCACAACAGGGGCAGGACATTACAAAAGGCCTACCTGAGTCGTGGAGCAATGCAAAATCCTCAATACAGGGTCCAGAGGAGCTGTGTGTGATGTACGGGACCCCCAAGGACATCGGTATTGACCGAGGAACTCACATTACTGGCCTTGAAGTTCAAGAAGGGGCTGATGGAAATGACCTGCACCGGTGTTTCCACCATCCTTACAGTCCTAGTGCTGCTAGGCTAATCCAGAGGATGAGTGGGGTCATGTCAGCATCAAGTGAGATGGGAAACCCGCTCTCAACGTGTGGACACACCCCAGGAGCAATGGTCCCAGTGACCACACCATCTGAATCCAAAGGCCACTTGAAGGTCACACCATTCAAGTTCAAGGCACACTGCCATTAGGACTATCCATTAGGACAAAGCTTGCTTTTGTCTGGGCCACAAGATCTAACCCCAGGAGAACACATTATAAGCCAGCCCTGGGACTGGCATATGAGTCCCTGGTGGTTTGGGTTTGCCTCCTGGTGGGAAATAGGATAGAAAGGGATTTATAGATCTCACCTGTCTGTTAACTGCTCCACCATAATTAATCCAGGCCCAGCTGGAGGAAGACACCATCATGTTAATCCTGAGGGTCTCTCTAGGATTCAGTACGGGCTCTGGGGACTGCGGGTGAATAGGCGGGATGGTACTGCCCCCGCCCAGGACAGAAACCTCAGGCAGGGGTGGCACTATCTCAGGATAGTGCTTGTATGTTGGTTAATGGTCATAATTTTCCCTGTCTTGTGTCTGTAAGCATACTTAGTCTGAGTGGAGGCAATCTGTTTGCAGACTGCACACAGTGGTGGCCTCACTGGGAAATAAGCCTGCTTGCTGGGTCTATAGCAGGATGCCATTGTTGTCCTCCTCTGGACTTTCATGAAAACTTGAGCCTGTAACCAGCTGGCTCGAATGTTTGCCCACTTCTTAGACTCTTGATACTCTTTAGCTGCTGTTGTCTGTATTGCATTTGTGGTGTCTGGTTGCAGTGCCCCTGTATATACCTGAGCCCAGGAATATCACAGAAGAGGGGTGGACCAAAATTGTAAGTGTCGTGCAAGGTGTGCAGGGGTGGAGTGTACTGTCAAGCCATTCAGGATGGCTGTTCTCTTGCTCTCTGTTCATCCCCAGCTCGACCAGGCCCTGGTTCAATCACATGACTATTCAATCCTACTAATTACAGGGCTTCATCAGTAACTAACTGCAAATGAGTGCTTGCCCCCACGCCATCTCCTGGTTTCCTTGGTAACTGATGGGCTCACCTAAAATCAATTTCCACCCTGTCCCTCCCACCCATACAGGGTAGCCTCCTTCTCCCCCAAAGGGGCAAAGACTGCTGCCTGCCATGGTGAGATTTCACTCCAGGACATTTTGCTTCAGACATGTAAGATCCCCTGTCCACTAAACTATTGATGTCCCCATCACTGTATCCAGCCTCTTTCTTCAGTCTGGAGGCTGGGCAACCACAAGTTTGCAGGCTGGTGGGGTGTGGCCCAATAACTACCTTATCAAAACAAAGAAAATGTAAGGTAAGAACATGAAGAATTTTTACACAATTAGAAAATGATGGAAAGACACATACTTATAAAACCTGGTGACCTAGATAGACTAGCCTAAATAGTGAATGAATGGAATAGTTAACAGAAACGTGGACTGGCCTCTGGTGCCCGTGTTGACAATGACCTTTTCAAAACAAGCCCCAGATTTTGTTTTAATTAATGGATTGCAGTTTTTATGATTGTAACACTTAAAACTTTTTTCACTTTTCTAATCCAGTGAAAGAAAGCTATAGTCACTTCTGAAGGCTGCCACAATGAAGTAGCACAAACAGAATTATGTTATCTTGCAGTTCTGGAGTTTAGAAGTCCAAAACCGAAGAGACAGAGAGCCATGTGCCCCTGAAGTGGGTAGTGGATCTGCCTTGCCTTGCTTCCCCCTAGCTTCTAGTGGTTTAGGATTAGTAGAATTGCAAGTACTTTGTTTTCTCCTCTTTACAGCTTTCAGTTTCAGTTTAACTTGCTCCTTTTCAGTAAGTGAAACAAAAAATCCGCTCCACTCCACCGCAGTCCTAATCTGCTGCTTGACTCACTCTGCAGGAGTCCCATCCTACGGCGACCATGACGCTGATGCAGGCTCCGGGCTCCAGACTTGGGCAGATCTGCGTGCTGATGCTCATCTTCACGGTGGTGCTGCAGGCTTTCGGTATGGCCGTGTTTTACATGTATCTCAACAAGGAGCTGAAGCAGGTCAGTACAGTGCAAACGCTCCCTGACAGGCGCTCTCAGCACCAGCTGGCTGGCTGCCTCTGCCGGCTCCTCTGTGAAGACTTTACAGAGCAAGAGAAGCCTCTTTCTCTGCCCTGCCCCGGGGACCCTAACTGCTAATGCCTATCATTGCTGAGAACTTTGCAAAAGTGAATTGAAGGGATTATGTGCACAAGGTATAGTTACAGAACTGGCTCCACCAGTTTCTAGCAGATGCAGGAAACGAAACTGCTGAGGTGGTTTTGTCTTCAGCAGTGTGTTAAATTATTAACTGCTGCCATTCCTTATGTGCTTTCTGCTTAACGTTTTAGAGTTCTTGGCTCAAATTCTTGGGCAAGAGAGGAGCTGTCTCAGGGGAGGACTGCGTCTGCTTTTGCTTTCTGTGACACCTCTAGGAGCTAGCACAGAGCTCCCACATAGCAGGTGTTTACTAAACACTTGTTCAGTAAGTAACCAACCTTCACAAATGTGCTTCAGAGACATAGGGTACAGTCAAGGCTTAACCCAAAGACAGGCTCTAAGTTACCTGTAATAATGCTGTGGTGTGTTCCAAATGTTGCTAGTTATAGTGGATTTTGAAAGCAAAATTACTGAAAATAAGCCACATCAGCTTTTGGCTTTCTATATAGTCGCTGGTACCTCAGCTGGTAAAGAATCTGCCTGCAATGCAGGAGACCCTGGTTTGATTCCTGGGTCAGGAAGATCCCCTGGAGAAGGGATAGGCTATCATCTCCAATATTCTTGGGCTTCCCTGGTGGTTCAGATGGTAAACCATCTGCCTGCAATGTGGGAGACCTGGGTTCAATCCCTGGGGTTGGGAAGATCCCCTGGAGGAGGACATGGCAACCTACTCCAATACTCTTGCCTGGAGAATCTCCATGGGCAGAGAAGCCTGGCAAGTTACAGTTCATGGGGTGACAGAGAGTCAAACATGACTGAGAGACTAAACACAGTGCACACATATGCGCGCGCACACACACACATATATATATTTAGTGTGTTTTTTTATTGCCAGATAGTTGATTTACAATGTCATTTTCTGCTGTATAGCAAAGTGAGTCAGTTATACATACCCACTCTTTTTCCAGATTCTTTTCCTATATAGATGATTACAGAATATTGAATAGAGTTCTCTGTGCTATAAAATAGATTCTTATTATTCATCTATTTTATAAATACTATATATTTTTTATACATTTTTCTCATTGTTCAGTCACTCAGTCATGTCCAACTCTTTGCCCCATGGACTGCAGCACGCCAGGCCTCCCTGTCACTCACCATCTCCTGGAGTTTGCTCAAATTCATGTTCATTGCATCGGTGATGCCATCCAGCCATCTCATCCTCTGTTGCCCTCTTCTCCTTCTGCCTTCAATCTTTCCCAGCATCAGGGTCTTTTCCAATGAGTCAGCTCTTCACATCAGATGACCAAAGTATTGGAGCTTCAGTATCAGCCCTTCCAATTGTGTATATGCCAGTCCCAATGTCCCAATTTATCCCTCCCCCTGGAAACCATAAGTTTGTTTTCTGTATCTGTGATTCAACTTCTATTTTCTAAATAGGTTTATTTCTACCATTTACTTTCCACATGTAAGTGATATCATGTGATATTTGTTTTTCTCTACCTGGTTTAACTTCACTCAGTATAACAATCTCTAGTTTTATTGCTGCAAGTGGCATTATTTTGTTCTTTTTTATGGTTGAGTGATATTCCACTGTATATAGTACCACATCTTTATCCACTCCTCTGTTGATGGACATTATATTACTTCCATGTCCTGACTATTGTAGATAGCGCTGGAGTGAACACTGGGGTGCATATATCCTTTGGAATTATAATTTTCTCTGCATATGTGTCCAGGAGTGAGAATGCTAGATTATATGTTAGCTCTATTTTTAGTTTTTTTAAGGAATCTCCATACTGTCCTCCATAATGGCTGTACCAATTTACATTCCCACTAACAATGTAGGATTTTCTGTGTACATTTTGGCTACTTGTGTATTATATGGCCGAGAACTTTGAGCTGAAAAGAATTTTGCACACCTCCATTTTATAGAGGAGGCTTGAGACTGCCAGAGAAATAACTTCTCTGAGCTCAGGCAGAAATTTGGAAGCAGAACTGGAACCAGGTCTTTGCTCAGCTCATAGGTAATGCTTCTCCCATCACAGCAGGGAGTCAGTGGGGTTCGTTTACCTCCTCCTTATGCTCAGCATGGCAGCCTAATGCATGGTGGCAAGGCAACATCAAATCTGTCAGCTGGCTAGGAAATGCAAGGCTAAGGGTCTTAGACAAACATAAATTGTGCCAAAACAGTGTTTATCTGTTAAGGAAATAGATGCAGTTTGCATATCCTGTGGAGTATAAACTCGGCTGTCACTTGGCTGGGAATTGCATTTGGAAATTAAGGAAACAAATGAGTCTACAAGTACTTATGAAAATGATCACTACTGTTAGATGACCAGTAAAGTCAGCTTTGTTATAGGGCAATTTCAAAGAGTTTCTAATTGTAAGGAAAAAAACCAACATAACTCTAATCATGTTTTTTAGTTCTGTGTCTGCACGAGAGACTGGAATACTGCTATGTTCTCCAATTTAGAGCCAGTATGTCCTAAGTTTTATTTACTTCACAGTATAAATAGTGAATTTGTGTCTCCATATACAGAGGTTCCCTCAATTTGCTCATATTAAAAGTTGGCCTCATTTTAAGATTGAACCAACTGGTTCTATACTGATCTAAGTCATGCAATTATCTGTGTATGTGGTCAACTTTTTTTTTTTAATTCTAAAAAATGGAAGCTTCAGAGCTTTACATCTTTGCACCTGCAAACATTCTTTCTGATTACATGTTTATATAAATGGCAGCTCAGCTGGTAAAGAATCCACCTGCAATGCAGGAGACCCCAGTTCAACTCCTGGGTCAGAAAGATCCCCTGGAGAAGGGATAGGCTGCCCACCCCAGTATTCTTGGGCTTCCCTGGTGGTTCAGACAGAAAAGAATCTGCATGCAAAGTGGGAGACCTGGGTTCAATCCCTGGCTTGGGAAGATCTCCTGGAGGAGGGCATGGCAACCCACTCCAGTATTCTTGCCTGGAGAATCCCCATGGACAGAGGAGCCCGGCAGATGATGGTCCATGGAGTCACAAAGAGTCAGACATGACTGAACAACTAAGCACAGAAATGTTTATATGTTTGTACACTTCTGTATAGATGCACAGAAGAATTTATTAAGAGTATTAAAAACAGGAGAATTGAGATATTGAGCAAATACTATGTTTTAGAAACTTTCAAAATATTGTTTTATTTCATTCTCATAACAATTCTATAAAGTAAATATAATTATCTCATTTTATAGATGAGCAAACTAAGGCTCAGGGAGGTTAGATAAAAGGTAAAACCCAATTTTGAACCAAGGCATTAAATAGGTGTTCAGTAAGTTGTAATCAGCATGGAGCAGTCCCTTGAAGTTGTCACCCTCTTCATCAGAAAGTTTTGCAAGGGAAAATGAATTTGAATCTCTTTGAATGACTGTGTAGAGTTTGGAAAAGCATACTCAACACAAGTATTAATGTTCTAAATCAGATCACAGGTTCTACTCTGGCAAGGGAAAATTTGCAGAAGATACAGTGGGTAAGGATTATAGGGAGTGTGGGTTGAGTAGGGCTGAGGGATGTTGGATTGAACCGTCACAATGAAGTCTCAAGGCCAGTAAGCACAAACAACAAATATGGGCTTAGCCTCTGAAGTCTATGTCTCTGAGAAAGTTTGACAAGGGGATTACCTATTGCTGTGTCATCATAGATGGCAAAGAAAAAGAAGGAGGAGCCCCTTATCCCCTGGGCTCCATAAATGATCCTTTATGCTATTTGGGGTTTGCAGAAACTGATTGTCAGAGACTAATGGCTGGGCAGCAGAGAGGGTCAGGACTGCCACCTTGAGGTCTCTGAGCCAGCCAGCCAGCAAAGGAGTCCACGCAGCTGACCTCAAGCCCTGCCAAGGACTGGTTATACCTGGCCTGGATGACCACAGTGTTTGTGATGGCACCACCAGAAGTTGAGTGGAATCCACTTCTTAAAACCAAGGGCTCCTGGAACAGGAGAGCAGGCACCTGGTGCTATCGTTGTCTCTCCTTCTAGAAGTGTCCAAATTTAAAAAAAGCACACTTATCCCCTTGCCCCCAATATCCAGATGTGGTTAGCAAGAGAACAGTCCCAGCCACAGAAGTGCTGTAGGAAATTCCTTCTCTATGTGTGAATGGGTGTGGAAAGGAAGTGGGGAGAGAGATTAAGCATCATTAATCATTCCTGGAATAGCCACAGCACCCCCTTGCCCATGTGTCATTCACCTGTATTGGCCCAGGTATGTGAAAGAAACTACCAAATAGGAAACCTGCGGAAGGGGTGCAGGGTGGCTGCAGCTTTCTGTTGTTCAGAAATCAATACGTAAGCATAAAAATATCTAGGAGGAAAAATAAGTTGTGATCTCTAGATGACAGGATTATGGGTTCCTCTTTTTCCTTTTCCTTTTTCTATATTTTATCAGTTTTCTACAATGAATGTTGTGAAACAGTCTATGCCATCCATATGATTGTCATACAGATCTAAAGAAAATGACATTTTTGTATAATCTTAAAAGTAAAGTAAAAAAAAAAAAGTAAAGTGAATCACTCAGTCGTGTTTGATTCTTTGCGACCCCATGGACTGTATAGTCGTGGAATTCTTCAGGCCAGAATACTAGAGTGGGTAGCCTTTCCCTTCTGCAAGGGATCTTCCCAACCCAGGGATCAAACTCAGGTCTCCCAAGTTGCAGGTGGATTCTCTACCAGCTAAGCCACAAAGGAAGCCCAAACCATATACAAAATTGCCCACACCCAGTCTGATCTTAACCCTATAAAAAGAGATACTCCAGAGGTCAACTAGGAGGTGAAATGAGGGTGGATCAAGGAGGATTTTTACTTGTTTTACTTTTAGAAAAGTATTCTATAATTTTCTGTTTTCCAGGGTGCCTGTATATCCTCAACATCTTCAGGCTTCATTAATTCTGGGTTAACAGTGGAGTCACACTAGCTTGTCAGACTCCTTCCCATGTCTCCCTAGGACCTTAGTTTTCAAGGCAATCCTTCCCCACCTCCTGAAAATGTTTCTGGAAAATTACCAGAGGATCTCCAGAGGCCAGCAGGGGATCCTGATCTGGTCTGGCCTCTGGTCTCTTCCACTTCTCAAACTCCAATTGACTTCACAGGGGCTGTCAGCTACCCTGACCACCTGATCCCAGAATCTCTCAACTTTGCCCTGTCCCAACCCTGACCCCACCCACCTCCTGGGCACTTTCCAATCGCTATGATGCAAGAAGACGAGTTGCTCTCTCCTCTTTGTGTCAGTCACATTGTTTTGTCCCAACAGGTTACAAAAGTTAGTTAAGCCTGCTTTTTTTTTTTTTCAAACATCTTTTGGCTGCACCCCACAGCATGTGGGATCTCGGTTCCCCAGCCAGGTCTCAAACCTGTACCCCTGCATTGGCAGCTCAGAGTCTTAACCACTGGACTACCAGGGAAATCCCAGTTAAGCTTATTTACTCAGTTTCACCAAATCAGTACCTGACCAAGGAATACCTACTCTTGTTGGACTGGACAATGTCTAATAAAACCGTTCTTCTGGAACTTTCCTAAGGCCTTGCTGCTAAATCCAGCTCTTTTCTCTGATCCTCCCTGCAGTTTGCTAGACGTGCTTTTATATTTCTAAATTGAGTTCTTTCCTTGGAAAGGCTTTTCAAGCTCCCACATAAATTGCAGATGAAAATTCTCCTACGTAAATGTTTTACTCCTGTATTCTTAAAAAGGAAGAAAGAAAATAAGCATTTATTTAAAAGTAAATGAATGTTCTATGCCAGTGGGGAAGGAATTAAGTCAGGTTTGTAACTTCTATGCTTGAGAGACCTGATCAAATGTCCAAGGAGTATGTGGCTGACATTATAGACCCACATGACTTTCACTGAAAGTTCTCATCAGTGTTTAAGTTATTTTTATTTGGAATAAGGCTGTCTTTCTATAGAAGGAAGCAGATCATTCTTACGTTCGATCTTTCCTTCAAGCTTTGAAGTCCTCTTCATTCAAATAACAGATAAAATGACTATTTCCCCACTTATTTCTCCAGAGAAAAGCATTTCAGTGGATTTGTATATGGAAATAATATCTGAATCCCAGTTGTTAAAAATGAAAACAGGAAAAAAGACCCATCTGAACTTGCATGAACTTTCTATTTTTCTTCATGAGGTTAATCAGTTGTCATCCTGGAGTGTTCCAGATGGATTGGAGTGTATGTGTGTAAGTTGTGCGTGCGTGTGTGTGTGTGTGTAGCATCAAGTGCAAACTTTGCAGACAATGATCTAGTCATTGTAAATGTTTACTCTCAATCAGAATGAGGGAGCAAACCTTCAAATGGTATTTCAAGTCTCTGCAGGTAAATCCCTAACTGGTGTAAACTTTTAATGAGTCAAGATTCAAATATCTAATGGCAATGTAGTCCTGATTCTGCTATCCAGAGGAGCAGACATCACAACAGTAGCTAGAATCCGCTAAGACAGTTGGTCTGTAAAGAAGGCTGAGCACCAATGAACTGATGCTTTTGATCTGTGGTGCTGGAGAAGACTGTTGAGAGTCTCTTGGGCAGCAAGGAGATCAAACCAGTCCATCCTAAAGGAGATCAACCCTGAATATTCATTGGAAGGCCTGAAGCCGATGCTCCAATACATTGACCACCTGATGTGAAAAGCTGATTCAGTGGAAAAGATCCTGATGCTGGGAAGGATTGAGGGCAAGAGAAGAAGGAGGTGACAGAGGATAAGATGTTTGGATGGCATCATGGACTCAATGGACATGAGTTTGACCAAACTCAGGGAGAGAGTAAAAGACAGGGAAGCCTGGCATGCTGCAGTTCATGGGGTTGCAGAGAGGGTGACCCAACTTGGTGACTGAACAACAATAAAAACAACCAAGAGGGTCAAAGCTAAGATCAAGAAATAGAACATAACCTGTGTCCTAAAGGGCTGATTAATTTGGTGGGGGATCCTGGAATATAAACAGACTCCACTGCCTACTCTGTACCTGTGTGGGTTTCCAACTGTAGAGGGGGAATCGTACCACGTCCGAGCAGGAAGGGACCTCAGAGATCACTACAGCTTGAAATGCAAATGAAGAAGAGATTTTGAAGTGAGGAGGCAATTTGTTGAGCGACACACAGCTATCCAAAGACAGGAGCCGCAAAGGCGTTGTGACACCAGATGCCTGGCCCACACCTGTTTCCTCTCTCCCACATCCAACTGCTTACCTTTATTCAAAGGATGGAAGACTGCATGCTTACTTCTACTTCAGGCAACGAGCTCATCCGAGGTACTAAGACGTCTCTGAACATGTCATCAGTTCCTGTTATTTTAACTTGTAAATGAGCAAAAGGAAAAAGCACTTGTGTGTAATACTGTGTTATATCCATCTCAACCCAGATGCAGGACAAATACTTCAAAAGTGGCTTGGCTTGCTTCTTGGAGGAAGATGACAGTTCCTGGGACTCCAGTGATGATGAGAGTATGATCGATCCCTGCTGGGAACTAAAGTCACAACTCTATCTGTTTGTTAAAAAGGTAGGTGAACCATGGTGTCACTTTACCAGTGGGCATAGGAGGTCAGAGGAGAGAGAATATTTTAGATTATGATGTCTAGAGTCCTCATTTTGTAAAGGAGAAAGCTGGAACCCAGAGTGTTTAAGTGATTGTCCTCAAATTCACAGAACTAGGAAAAGGTGGGATCCACCCCACAGGGGGTCCTGATTGAAGCCTATTCTAGAGTTTATTCCTCTCTTCCAGAGAGCTTCCTCATCTAGTCTAAATATTTTATCTTACCTTGTGGAAATGAGACACAGACAGAACAATATGTCCAAGGTCACACACTAACAAAGGATGTGCGTATTTTTTTTGTTATTCAGAAGACAAAAAAAAACAAATGATATTTTATATTTTTCCCACATTGTTGTTCTCTGGAATTAAGTCTTTTATTTTTGTACACATATAGAGCTGAAGAAAGAGGAAAGGAAAAGGGAAAAAAGATATACTTTGAGAAACTGAAGGTGATGGCATCTCAATTCCCAGTAAATTACACATACAAAGTATTATTTTCTGCTTGTGAAAATTGCTTACATAAGCTCTCTAGCAGAAAGGTTATGGTAGCTAACAGTTTATTTCACTAGATGTGATTATGTAATTATACTGAGTGACATGACAGGCCAAACAAAGTTTCTTTTCTCAGGCTGCTTTCTTACTTGTAAGATGGCATTAGTAATGTTTACCTTTTGCATATCTGGAAAGGTCAGCCAAGAATACAAATATGAAAATACCCTGTAAACTATGATACACAATCATTATTTCAACAGTTACTGGGGACACTCCCAGAGTAAGAGGAGGATGTGTTTTAAAGAAATGATTATAAATCTATTGTCTGGTGCTCAGTATGCCTTTCTATAGACACAGTGTTATGTTGGTGAGTAGGCTCCGATTTATAACCCTAAGCAGCCCTCACAGTAAAGCCCAGACATCCCCTGTGATGCTATTTCTATGACAAATAAAATCAGACTTCCACCTGGTTGTCCTAGAAACTCATCTGCTCCATGGCTGCCCTGGAAACACAGGTGGGGCGCTCACTGCACACAGGCATTCCTGAAGCAGCTGGAACTCCATTGCCCCAAGTGACAAGGACCAGGAAAGACGCAGGTTTGGGGAAGGGTCCTGAGGAAGCTGAGCAGTGGGACCCCACAGCCCCTGGGATCAGAGAGGTTGACAAACCCACTGGTGGCAGAGGAGCGAAACTCAGAAGTAGAGTCGAAATCTGGAAACTGAGGAGGGGCTGGATGCAGGGGCAGGAAGTGGGGAGATGAGAGAAGCAGTTTGGGTGGGTTTTACTGGTCTCTTTCCTGCTCTTCCCCTCTCCCCCCATTCTCACATCCTACCACAAACCAGAGAAGGGAGGGTACCCAGGGCAGGAGAGAGTGTAGGGTAAGAGGGGGAAGACTTCCCCACATTTCCAGGTACCACATGAACAAACAGATCATTTCCCATAAATGTCCTTTATGGACATTCCACATGTTATTAATATCTCCCCTAATCCCCAAACAGCTGTGAGGAAGGAATCATTATTATCTTCTTTTTTCTTAAAAAGAAAAAAGATAAAGAAATTAAAATAGTCCATATCAGTTCAGTAACTTGAGAAAAGTTTCCCGGGGCTGGTAATGAACAAATTTTAACCCAGTCCATCTGCTTATATTCTAACCATTCTGTTTTTTTGTTGTGTGCTTTTGTTTTTGGCTGTGCCGCGTTACATCTTATTTCTTGGGCATCTTTTTTTTACCTGTCCAGGGATCGAACCAGTGCCCCGTGCTGTGGGAGGGCAGAGTCTTAACCCCTGGACAACCAGGGAAGTCTCATTGTAATCGTTCTTTTTTTCTGCCTACTTCCCTGTAAGAATTAGCCTTTTCCTTTTCCTGCTCCTCCTATTTTCTTTCTGGCTCAGAAGGCCAGTGACAGAGTTAAAGTGCTGAGGCCCTTGCTTCCCCTCCCACACACCAGTGACCTTTGCCCTAGAGGAGCCCCAGGCTGTTATCTGTGGTCAGGGCTTTTGACAAAGAAAAATGCTAATATGGGGCTGGAGTACAGAGGAGGTTTCTGACAGTTATGTGATTAACAATGGTGATTGGAAAGGTGGGCAGGGATGGGGAAAGAACTGAGTAGAGAGAAGTTTAAAGCCGTGGGTGAGCCATGTCAGGCTGGGCTCATTGAACCGAAGGGCTCAATTTCATTCTTTCTTACTGGTTTTCCCCACTGGTTAGCAAGTGGGGAAAGAAAATGATATGAGGTGTTTAGTAAGAGATGGAAATTTGGTAAGATCTCTTTACGGTGAGAATGTCTCAGCCACATTCTCAGAAATGAGAGAGTGACATGGTGCTAGCAGGTCACCACTGGATGGGGTGTGCATGTCTATGGGTGTCATGAGAGAAAGGGAGTGTGCCTTATACCTTCTGTCTTGGGTGTGTCCAATAATTTAAAGCCTCTGGAATCTAACACACGCATACATTCAGAGACACACAGTGCACTTATACACATGCTTGCATGCAGACATATCTCCCAGAAAGTGAGGTGACATGGCCATCACATCTATTAGCCACAAGGAAGTCTGGGCATGTTAGGCTGACCTCACTTGGAGAAAAATGACTCCTCCTTCCTGTGGTGCTCCAGGTATGGCATTTCAAAGACTTCATCCAGAAACAGAAGTCTCTCAGATAGAGGACCATCCTTTCATCAATAGTAAGGAACAGCTGCCTCCATATTTACCCCAGCTCCCACCCTACCCCACATGCTCTTTGCTTGAACAACTTAAAGCTGCCTAAGTTGGTATCTTAAATGCAGAAATTTCCTGTTAGACATCAGCAAGAAGAGCCATAGACATTCAATAATCAGTTTAAATGCTTAGGGGAATTAACCAGCTTTATTCAATACTATTTGCAGATGATTTTGAGAACCTTTGAGGAAATGATTCCTACAAATCCAGGTATTATTTTTTGTTATTATTTTAATTTTCTAGTGTCAACCTCCTGATAAAGTGAGTACCTTTCCATCCTTTTGCTCTCTACTCTCACCCAAACATCCCACCTCTGAGTGATGCTCAGTAACTCAAGATGCTTGATTCTGTTTCCCTATTGGCATTGGCATTTGAACCAAATCTGAGGCCCACCTCAGGTATGAACTTTATTTCATGGGAATTTTATTCTTCCAATGTGGATTTACCTTTCATCTCAACTTCTTCCTTTCTTTGTTTTTACCTTCTAATGTGGGTAGCTTTCTGCAGCATAGCTGGAAAAAAAAATAAGGGGTCCAAAGTTACCCATCTTCACTGCTTCTATCCATGCCTAGGCTCTAAGCCTTTCTTTATGCAAAAATTTTGCTCCATCGTCTCTTTCCCAACAATCCTTCTTACCCAAAATCCTCTTTCTGCAGTCCCCACACCTTTGCCATCTCCACTGATGGTTGGCCAACTGCTCTTGACCCACATCCCCTTTCAGTGGGTCTTTCAGAGAAGACCAAACTGGCTTCTCTGGTCCTCTGCCTGGCTTCTTCCATTCTTGAATTTTCACATCTCTTTCTCATCCTCCATCCTCATCACCTCTTCGAAGAGAACTTCTCTGACCAGCTGTCTAAGAAAGTTTCCCCACATCCTGTTTTGCTGTCATACTTATTTTGTTCGTTTCCTTTGGTAAATACATGTGTATAAATCAAAGAAAAAAATATATATATATTCTCTGTGTTCTGATTCCTTACTACATGAAAGATCTACAAAGATTGAAAACATGCCTATTTCTCTCACCTCTCTATACCTGGACTTACCTCTATATCTCAAACCTAGTAGATTCTCTTTTATCCCCCTGGTCCTTACCTGTACCAACTTTGGCATGCATGTGCGTGCGTGCATGTGTGTGTGTGTGTGTGTGTGTGCGCGCGCGTGCATGTTTTGACTGAGGTGAAATTAACATATCATGTGATTAACCATCTTGAAGCATACGATTTGGTGACAGTTAGTGCATTCACAGTGTTGTCTCACCACCATCTCTGTCTACATACAAATTCTTAATACAGATTTTGTTAATCAAGACATAAGTGAATGTAACTGATGAATTAAATTTGCTGCTTCTTCACATTTAGCTCACCATAACCCCATTTTCCCCTACTAACGGTCATACAGGCCTCCATACATGTACCACAGACTTAAAGTCCTGGAGTACACCATCCTGGCAGAGAAGAAACAATGTTTTTAAAATAGATATTTGGTTAATGATGTATTCCTACTTTTCAGCTATCCTTTCCCGTTACAATCATCTTCCTCATCCCTTGATAACCCCCAGTTCAGTTCAGTTCAGTCACTCAGTCACATCCAACTCTTTGCAACCCCATGAATTGCAGCACGCCAGGCCTCCCTGTCCATCACAAACTCCTGGAGTTTACTCAAACTCATGTCCATCGAGTCGGTGATGCCATCCAGCCATCTCATCCTCTGTTGTCCCCTTCTCCTCCTGCCCCCAATCCCTCCCAGCATCAGGGTCTTTTCCAATGAGTCAACTCTCCACATGAGATGGCCAAAGTATTGGAGTTTCAGCTTCAGCATCAGTCCTTCCAATGAGCACCCAGGACTGATCTGCTTTAGGATGGACTGGTTGGATCTCCTTGATAACCCCCACCATCCTTCATTAAATATGAAGGCAAGACCTGGTCCCAGGATCTGAGCATTCGTTCTGGTCATTTCCCCAAAGCCAAAGGCAGTAGCAGGAATGATGAACATGCCATCTCTTCTTTCTTTAAAATATTTATTTGGCTTCCTCGTATCTTAGTCATGGCACACAGGATCTTCATTGCATCATGTGGAATCTCTCCTTGCAGCACATGGACTCTCTAGTTGTGGTGCTTGGACTCAGTAGTTGTGACACATGGGCTTAGTTGCTCCATGGCATGCAGATCCTAGTTCTCCAACCAGGGATCAAACTGCATCCCCTGCATTGCAAGGCAGATTCTCAACAACGGGACCTCCAGGGAAATCCCTCCAACTCTTCTAATGAGGAACACCAGATCCATGGTTTACATAAGATGTATGTACTATTTTCAGTTTTGGGAGAAAAATATTCTTTTTTATATTCATCCCAGTGGGGTGCAGAAATCACATACTTCTCAGTATACCAAAATGTATCCATGACACTCAAATATGCATATTCATAGGGTATCTTGGAGTTGTTTGCTACAGTCTACAGGAAATTTCCTCTCTTCAAAATTTGCTCTTATATCTAGGCTTTCCTATATCCTTGCACTGACCTCAAATGCAAGATATTTGTAACTGGATTCCACTACTGAATGTGTTAAAGCAAAGTGTTAAAGTCTCGGAGCAGTCAAGACACTATGAATTATTTATCACTGGAAGTTCAAAGTAAATGAACACATCAACTTTGAAAGCTGAGCGTTCTGAGAGTAACATGTAATTGACTATACATCCCCATGCTGTGTTGGGTCTTCAATATAGTACAAATGCTCACTATCCTGAATAAGTAACAATACCAGATAGATAAAGTCTTCTCCCTGTTTCTTTCTCCCCTATGGAATTTTGTCACCTCATTTCAGTTTCCTCTACTACTAGTCTAGATGGAAGCTTCCTATTCTCAGACCTGATCAATTACAATTGTTGCTAACCCACCAATCTCTAGCCCTCTCGATTTCTACCGTCAGAACTTACTATGAGTTAGTTTAGCCTAAAGCACAACACATATCTTTTTGCTTCCCTGATTAAAACTGTTCAGAGTCTTCTCATGTCTGTAAAATCCAAATCTCTTAGCCTAACATTCAAATCCTCTGTAGTTTAACTCCTCATTCAAGCCTGAAACTAAACTCCTCTGATGCCTGTATCCCAGGAATGCTCTGTGCGTCTTGTTCTAGATCTAGAACAAGACTGTTCTAGATCTCTGCGAACGCCCTTCTCCCACTGTTGTGGGCTTTAAGCCTCTCCATCCTCCCTCATTTCGAATAATTGTCCTGCACCTCAAATGCTTTCTTGCTTTCATTTGTTTATAGTTATTTATCTGTGTTCCTAGAAGTGTGCCTGGAATGGATGTAATGGGCACTTTGGTTTGCTAGAGTAAGTAAATGAAGGGACCTTAGTCCAGAACCTCCCCTGACTCAGCTTTCCAACAAATAGGAATCTTTCCTCACCCTTTCTTTCTATTTCATATGGGTCAAATTTCACTTTCTAATTTGTATCTTCCCTAAACCCTGTAAGTCCCTTGAAGGCTTAGATTATACTATCAGTGATTAATTTTTGAATCCCCCATGGAAGCACTGCCTTGTTCATGGACATATTTGTTTGGTGAAACCATACAATTAATCTTAACAACCAACGTAAGCCTCCTGGAAAGTTTTAGCTGATTTTTAAAAGAGTAATTTGTTGAATTTGTAGTCATTTAGTCTGCTCTAGAGTACTTCAGATGGTGGTCGGTAAATGTGATTTGTTTATTGAGATCTAGTGAATCAACGATTTATATGCTCATACACTGATTATCATGATCATTATGTTGTTTCATATACCTTTTGGGAGGTGAGGGAAGTGACTGCTGGATACCAGTTTGTGGCATATATGGACGTATAAACCGTGGAATCCTGTGGCCATGAAGAAAGTTGAGCCATAAACCCCATCTGAGATAGTGAATGATGTTTTGTAATTGCTGTTCCTTTAGAGTAGGTAGTAGCTAGCAAAGAGGAAAATATAATTGAAATGATGAAAATTAGTATCAGCTTTTTCCTACATACAGCTCAAAGTGGAAAGTTGCCAGTACTTGGTTATTTGTGCACTTTTAATGCCTCAGCAGGAGTATTATGCGTCCATGGTTTTATCACTATTGTTGTTTAGTAAAAGTGTCAGGATCTTCACTTTGTTATATTCTAGTAGAACCTTATCCCTGAGATGCCAATAAATTACAGCTTAAGATACTGCTTATTCCACCTATCTAAAGTACTTTTTGAATTAAACATAGGCTGAAGTAGACTACTCATAATACTAAAATGTAGGTTGGTTTTATGGAAACCCATATAATCAACTTTGGGAGCCCAGTGTGTTTACTATGCTTGATTGACAAGTACTGTGAACAGCAATGTATTTACGAAGTAGTTTGATAAGTGATAATGATTCTTTGTCATTTCTCTTTTAGAAAAACAATATGATCCTTACCTAGAGAGAGGAAATGGTCCTAAGAGGGTAGCTGCTCATATAACTGGAAACACTCAGAAAAGAAGCATGTTGCCAGTTCTAGGTAAGAGAAATGATTAATATATGGTTTAAAGGCAGGGAAGGGAAGAATTTGTTCTAAATAATTTATTCTCATATCTGAAATGTTTATATGGCTATCTACAAAATGGTCAGTAGTAATCAAGTCTCAGACTGACTCTTCAGAAGCAAGATTACAAGATAAGTAGCTTAGTTACTGCCCAGCACAACTAGCCTCAAGAAAATTCTGAAATGAGAGAACTTAGAGTTTCCCATGCCCCCATTTTTTATTTTCTTATTTTTAAAAGTAATTTCTCACTCTTTCATCAAATCTTTCTCCTCTGAAAAGGTTCTAAATCAGTCATCTACTTTTCCAATGAATCACCAAACCCTCCTAGTGACATTTGCATTAGATTGAAGCACAAAAAGAAAAAATGGCCAATATTTGACCACTTTGCACTTATGGAAATGTCAGTTTCATATAGTTTAACCAAATAGGTTAAGCCTAATTTTAACTGGAGAACAGGTGTCCATATATTGCTGAAGTTAGTGTGTGAGTCTTGTAATCTAAACACCCACATGGGAATCCCAGTTCCTCCTCACCAAGTTCTTCATTTTGAGGAAATTACTTAACCCAATCAAGCTTCATTTTCCTTCTCTCTCTTTTTTTTTAGAAAAGATTTTTTTTATGTGGACCATTCTTAATGCCATTAATGAATTTGTTACAATATCACTTCTGTTTTATGTTGTGGTTTTTTGGCCAAGACTCATGTGGGATCTTAGCTCTCCAGCCAGGGATGAAATCCAAACACCCTGACTTGGAAGGCTAAGTCTTAACCACTGGACTACCAGGGAAGTCCCAAGCTTCATTTTCTTCACATAAAAAGTAGAGATAAAATTTAACTCACAAAACAGTGAAGATGAGTGCAAAATGCAAGTGCATTTTAAGTACTCAGTAAGTGGTGCTTTTATTATTGTGAGAGATTTTGTCCTAGGTTAAAGGTATTTCAGGCATCAGTTAATGAATGAAAATTTTGTTGGGTTTTTTTGTTGACTGGTTGGTTTTTGTCTGGTTTTACTCTGGGCAGTTGCCTTCATGGTATTCCTAAACTGGTATTTTTTGAGTTAATTGATGTGTTCTGCCTATTTGTGAGATTGTTATTTCACTATTCCTATTTACGATTCATCAAATAATATGGTAGTTGTTTTAAACTCTTGAAAAACTAAGTTTTGTACCAATCATAGAGATGAGCCCAAAGTTTAAAGGAATATCCTATCTCAGTAAGGCCCATCTTCATTCACAGTCTTCAGGATTTAAAGATCCAAAGATCTGAAGATCTTTAAATCTGGTCGCTTTTGCCAAGCCCTGTACCTTGCCTTATTTGACTCGAGATGCCTGCTGCTTGGAAGGTGCTTGTGACACTGGGTTACTGAGAAAGACCGAGAAGGAATCCAAAAAGATCTAAAAGAGTAGCAGGAATTTATGAGCTCTAGGCTTGAGGAACAGACATGTTTCTTTTGGTTTCCTTCTACATTGTCAATCTGAGCTCACCCGCACAGGCAAGGAGCCAGGGGTTCTGGATGGAAATTCTTCCCTGGAGTAGACTGCTATCCTAATGAACCATCCCATGGTACCAGTCAGAGCTGAGTGTGGCAGTCAAGCTACAGCAAAATAAGGGACTTCAAACAGGTCACAGTGCCATGGGAGCCTCCAGATTTCTATATGATTAGGATTTAGACTCCTTGGAAGATTGAGGGAGAGTGAAGTTTTTTTGTTTGTTTTTTTTGTGTGTGAAGTTTTAAATTAGATTAAAATTCTTTACAGTTTCAACCAAAGTGTTGTCTAGCCACAGCTATCAGGAAACTCCTTGCTTTACTACAAGTTAATTTTATTTTTCTCCAAACTTCATCCCAGGCTCCAAGAATGAAAAAGCTGTGGGCCATAAAATAATTTACTGGGAGTCATCAAGAAAAGGACATTCGTTCTTAAATAAATTGATCTTAAGGAATGGAGAGCTGATTATCCAATACACAGGATTTTATTACATCTATTCCCAAACATACTTTCGATTTCAGGAACCTGAGGAAGGTTTGGGAACTGTTTCAACAGAAGAGAACAGAAAAAAAATCAAACAAATGGTACAATATATTTACAAATACACAAGCTATCCTGACCCTATACTGCTGATGAAAAGTGCTAGAAATAGTTGTTGGTCTAAAGATTCAGAATATGGACTCTATTCCATCTATCAAGGAGGAATATTTGAGCTTAAGGAAAATGATCGAATTTTTGTCTCTGTAACTAATGAGCGATTGGTTGACCTGGACCAAGAAGCCAGTTTTTTTGGAGCCTTTTTAATTGGCTAAAGGATCTATAAAGAAAAAACAGTGCCCCCAGAGTGACCTTTCACTTTTCAGAGTGATGTACTTCAGAAATGTGAAAGTAAGGCAGCCTGAGCAGAACAACTTCAACCAAAGGATCTACCACACAAGCTTTTTTGGTATCCTGGATTCTCTACCACTTAGCTACCTGGGAAGCCGCCTCTGGGGCTTCCCACCTTACCACCAGAAATCTAGATTTTCAATTTAGAAACATTTATGTGGCAATTAACATCTCTGCTTCTTTACCATCTACTTTGTGAAGATACCAGAAGACTGGAAGGTCATGGTCATTGTATGCAGGACGCGAAGGGAGTGGCATACTGCAGGACCCTGTGGTAGCTGTCCTGGACTCTCAACTTGGAAATAAGAAAATCCCGTTGTATTTCTCCATTGTCTGTTGTAACTTGTCCTTTTTTATTTCTAATTTTATTTAGATGTGAGTCTTATTTAATTTTATTTGATTTGAGTCTTCTCCCTTTTTGTCTTGATGAGTCTAAGTAATGATTTGCCAATTTTGTTTATCTTCCACAAAACCAGCTTTTAGTTTTATTGATTTTGCCATTGTTTCCTTCATTTCTTATTTCTTCTCTGATCTTTATGATTTATTTCCTTCTACTAACTTTGGGTGTTTATTTGTTCTTCTTTTTCTAGTTGCTTTAGGTGTAAGGTTAGGTTGTTTGCTTGATGTTTTTCTCATTTGTTTTTTACAGTTTGAGTTTTTCACAGTTATTTTTTCCCTGTAATTGATATTTAATCTTATATAAGCATCTCATACAGCTCAATATCAGAAAAACAAACAACCCAATAAAAAATTAGCCTGAGGACCTAAACAGACATTTCTCCAAAGAAGACACAAAGATAGCCAATAAACACAAGAAAAGATGTTCAACATCATTCATTATTAGAGAAATGCAAATCAAAACAACCACGAGGTACCACCTCACTCCAATCAGAATAGCCATCATCAAAAAATCTACAAACAGTAAATGCTAGAGAGGATGTGGAGAAAAGGGAATCCTCCTACACTGTTGGTGGGAATATAAATTGATAAACCATTATGGAGAACATTATGGAGGTTCCTTCAAAAACTAGGAATAAATCTACCATATTACCCAGCAATCCCACTACTGGGAATATACCCTGAGAAAACCACAATTGACATCTACCCCAATGTTTATTGCAGCACTAATTTACAATATCCAGGACATGGAAGCAACCTAGATGTCCTTTGACAGATGAATGGATGAAGAAGTTGTATATAGATATACAATGGAATATTACTCAGCCATAAAAAGGAACTAGTCTGAGTCAATGGTAGTGAGGTGGATGAACCTGGAGTCTGTTATACAGAGTGAAGTAAGTCAGAAAGACAAAAACAAGTATTATATGTTAGCGCATATATATGAAATCTAACATGGAGAAAAAAAATGGCAACCCACTGCAGTATCCTTGCCTGAAAAATCCTATGGACAGAGGAGCCTGGCAGGCCACAGTCCCTGAAATTGTAAAGAGCTGGATACGACTGAGGGACTGAACAGCATGGGATCTAGAAGAAGAGTACTAATGAACCTATTTACAGAGAAGAAATGGAGGTGTAGTGTAGAGAATGGACTTGTGGACACAGGAGGGGAAGGAGAGACTAGGACAAATTGAGAAAGGAGCATTAACATTTATATACTATCGTGTAAATAGATAACTAGTGAGAAGCTGCTATGTAACACAAGGAGCCTAGCCTGGCACCCTGTGATGACCAGTAACAGTGGGATTGGGGGAAGACGGAAGGGGTACATGTATAATTATGACTAATTGACACTGTTATAAAGCAGAGACCAACACAAGTTCACGGAGACTTCACAACACAATTGTGAAGTAACTGCTGCTGCTGCTGAGTCACGTCAGTCGTGTCCGACTCTGTGCGACCCCATAGACGGCAGCCCACCGGGCTCCCCCATCCCTGGGATTCTCCAGGCAAGAACACTGGAGTGGGTCGCCATTTCCTTCTCCAGTGCATGAAAGTGAAAAGTGAAAGTGAAGTCGCCCAGTTGTGTCCGACTCTTAGCAACCCCATGGACCACAGCCTACCAGGCTCCTCCGTCCATGGGATTTTCCAGGCAAGAGTACTGGAGTGGGGTGCCATTGCCTTCTCCGTGTGAAGTAACTGCCTTCCAATAAAAAAGTAATAAAAATATGTTACTTTTTCAATAAAAAATGACTTTAAAATATGTATTTTTGTGTATTTTGTACTTAACATTTTATAGTAACAAGGTTAGTAACAATGGGGAAAAGAACTTCTAACGTCTTTTTTATGGTATCTTTTATCTAACATGTCTTACAGAAGAAAGAAAGAAACCGCTCATTTTTATACCATGTGATTAAAATATTATCAGTCCTTTCCTTTAAGGTTAATGCTTTTGTTACAGACTGAATTGTGTCCCCACAAAAGAGAATGTCAATGTCCTATTCCCCAGTACTTCAGAAATGTGATCTTATTTGGAAATAAGTTTGTTGCAGATATAATTAGTAAAGATGAGGTCGTAGATGAGGAATAGGTTGGGTCCTTCACAGAATGTGACTGGTGGCCTCATTATTTAAAGAAGGAGATTTAGTAACAGAAAGACTCACAGGAGGAAGTCCTCGTGGCAGCAGAAGCAGAGATTGAAATGATGAAGCTGCAAGTGAAGAGCCCCAAGGATTGACAGTCCTCATCAGAGGCTCAAGAAACAAGAGAGGATTCTACTCAGAGCCTCAGAAATCTGCTGACACCTTGATTTTAGACTCCTGGCCTCCAGAACTGTAAGAGAACAATTTTCTGATGTTGAAAACCTCCTGGTCTCTGACACTTCGGTTCAGCAGCCCTAGGAAGCGTATGCAGCTTTCCATACCATGTTTAAGAAATCTTTTTTTACTGATGTCACACAAATGTCACCATTAATATGTTTTTTTCTGAAATCTTGAAGTTTAGTCTTTCGTAGTTTGATAGTAGGACTCAACAGTAATTTAATCCATGAATGATGAAGGGATATAATTTTATCTTCTACCATATCAGTGACCAGTTGTCCAACACTGTTCAGTGGCTAGCCCACTCTTACCCCATTGATTTTAATGTCTAACATCATACACCAAGCTCCCAGGGGTCTGTTTGTGTGCTCACTTCCCACCCTCCCCCCAACCCTGCATTGGATTGGTTATCAGTTCTTGCACTCATTCCATCCATTTTCTAAAAATTGTGGTAAAATATAGGTAACTTAAAATTTACCATTTATTGTAAAGTAATTAGCCTCCAACGAATAAAAATAAATGGAAAAAAAAGAAAAAAAAATTTTTAATAAAAAAAAAATGTACCATTTAACCATTTTTGAGCATAGAGTTCAGTAGCATTAAGTACATTCACATTGTTGTGCGACCTTCAGTACTATCCATGTCCAGAACATTTCATTATCCCAAGCGAAAACTTTGCAACCATTAAGCAATAACTCTTCATTTCCTTTCCTCCAGGCCCTGGTAATCACCATACTACTTTCTTAATGAATTTGACTGTCTTAGGTAGCTCATGTAAGTAGAATTATGCAGTATTTGTTCTTTTGTGTTTGACTTATTTGATTTAGCATAATGTCTTCAAGGTTTAATCGATGTTGAAGTATGTGTCAGACTTTCTTTAAAAAAATTTAAGTATAGTTGATTTACAATGTTGTATTAATTTTTGCTGTTCGTTTCTTTTTAAGATTGAATGAATGACCCAGAGGGATGGGATGAGGAGGGAGGTGGGAGGGGATTTCAGGATGGGGAACACATGTAAATCCATGGCTGATTCATATCAATGTATGGCAAAAACCACTATAATATTGTAAAGTAATTAGCCTCCAACTAATATAAATAAATGAAAAAAAAAAAAGAAAAAAAAGACTGAATGATATTACAGCATTGGAAAATAGATACTATATTTTGTTTATTCATGTATCTGTTGATCATACTTTCTGGCTTTAATGGTTACTATTTGCTTTTCTATAAATCTTAACTTTCTCCTTCTTTAGTCCTTTGTTTCCAAACAATCCAGGCATTTGGTTGTTTAATTCACAAACTTTGTGCAACATAAGTACCTTTCATTGTGGCATTTTAAGGCAATATTTAGAAGGGAAAGAGTTACATTTGCATGTGCAGAATTCAGTTGGCAGTTTAAATAAACATCCCGGGAAGTCTCAAATTTCATTCCAAGTTCCACTGATACAGTATCAGAACTATATGTAAATTTTTGAACAATGTGAATAATGACTATAGCCACCCGAAAGGAAAACAGTCCATTTGACCTGAAGCAGAAGGAGATAGGAAGGAATGAAAGAAAGTAGTCAGACTTCTTATACTTTATAGGAAAGGCCCATAGAGCTATTGAGCTATGGATATGTGGTATTCCTCAAAACAAGGGAAGAAGGACCCCAAAGACAATTTAGAGATCATTAAGGCTTCCTCTTTGGTCTCAAAAGTTGGGACTGTATCACTTGGATTTTGACAGGCCAGACAACGCTTGCCCATGACTATGGGGGTGGTGCCACGCAAAGCCATGGGAACGATGCTACCAAAGCTGTGGAGGTCAGGCCCCTGCCCAGCAGAGCCCTCAGAGACGTCTGCCTCTGCCCAGATATCAAGGCATGGAGCCATCTAGAACTGTGGGCACTCAACCCAGGCCGAAGACCACAGAGAGGATGAGGTTACTGCAGAGAATCCCTGCCAGGAAAATACCCAGTGGAGCCATGTGGATATGGCTTCTCCCATGATCCCAAGTCAGCAGAGCCTCTGGTGTACAGTTCCAGACAGAGACAGCTACAAGCATGCAAGTCAAGCCAGTGAGGATTGCCACGTGGGTTGCCTGCAGCAAAGTCATGGGGGCAGGTATATCCCAGTGTGCACAGAAGGTCATGTCCATATTCCAGTGGGCCTACCAGGGAGAGTATCTGATGAAAGATTATTCTCAAGCCTTGAAATTTTATGTTTGCCTTGTTGCATTTGGACTTGCTTGGGACCTTCCACCCTCTTCTTTCCTATTTCTCCCTTTAGGCCTGGGAGTTTGCCCTACCGCCTGTCCCACATTGTTTTTTGGAAGCATATAATTTTTTTTATTTCACAGATTCACATCTGGAGAGCAATTTATCTCAGAATCAATTATACCTTGAGTCTCATGCACATCTGTTTCAGGTGATATTTATATGAGACTTTAAACTTAGATTTTTTTTTTTAGCTGATGCTAGATGAAATTAAGACTTTGGAAGCTGTTGAGATGGAATGATCATGTTTTGCATGCAAAATGGACATGAATTTTGGGGGGCCAGGGATATAATGCTATGATTTGAATATTTATTTCCCTCCAAAATTTCATATGTAATTTTCAAAATTTATTGAAATCCTAATACCTTATGTGATGGTATTAGAGCCAGGGTCTTTTGGAATTGACTAGGTCACGATGGGTCCACTCATGAATGAGATTAATGTCCTTATAAAAAGGTTCGAGATAGGTCCCTTGCCTGTTCAGTCATGTGGGGATACAATGAGAAGTTTGTGACCCAGAAGAGGGTTTCTATACGACCGTGCTGG